GTCGAATACACCACGTATCGAATTACCACGCGTCGAATACACCACGTATCGAATTACCACGCGTCGAATACACCACGTATCGAATTACCACGCGTCGAATACACCACGTATCGAATTACCACGCGTCGAATACACCACGTATCGAATTACCACGCGTCGAATACACCACGTATCGAATTACCACGCGTCGAATACACCACGTATCGAATTACCACGCGTCGAATACACCACGTATCGAATTACCACGCGTCGAATACACCACGTATCGAATTACCACGCGTCGAATACACCACGTATCGAATTACCACGCGTCGAATACACCACGTATCGAATTACCACGCGTCGAATACACCACGTATCGAATTACCACGCGTCGAATACACCACGTATCGAATTACCACGCGTGGAATATACCACGTATCGAATTACCACTCGTCGAATGCACCACGTATCAAATTTCTACGCGTCGAATGCACCACGTATCGAATTACCACGCGTGGAATACACCACGTATCGAATTACCACGCGTTGAATACACCACGTTTCGATTTACCACGCGTGGAATACACCATGCATCGAATTACCACGCGTGAAATACACCACGTATCGAATTACCACGCGTCGAATACACCACGTATCGAATTTCTACGCGTCGAATACACCATGTGTCGAATACACCACGTATCAAATTTCTACGCGTCGAATACACCATGTGTCGAATACACCACGTATTAAATTTCTACGCGTCGAATACACCACGTGTGGAATACACCACGTATCAAATTTCTACGCGTCGAATACACCACGTATCGAATTACCACGCGTGGAATACACCACGTATCGAATTACCACGCGTCGAATACACCACGTATCAAATTTCTACGCGTCGAATACACCACGCATTGAATTACCACGCGCCAGATTGCTGTTATTCCTCCGTTACGTTTGCAGCCGTATAGAGATCAGTGAAGAGAGGATCGTTAGGGTGCAATCTCGGTCTCGTGTTGACCACCGAATAGTTACATCACGTCTCGATCCATTTACATGGAAATCCGCCGGACAGCTGCTCGATTACATTTCTTGTATTATATTTCTTCTGAGATTTTAGATGTCATCAACAGTCCCTTAACTCTGTAACCCACTAAAAGATCGTTAACCTCTTTCCATATAATTTGTCAGGCGCATCAGTCAGATCCGCAGCTATAATATTCATAAGAACTATGAAAGTTAAAATATTGTGCCTACTTTATGAAAAATCGACGACCATATTACAATTGCATTTGGACAAATTAAAAGTTTGTGTAATATTTATTACATTAAACTGTGTGTGACAGTGGTAATATTTTCCAAAGAAATGAAAGTGACCTCCGATTTTTTTAACCAAATAACATTTATCGCACGACACCGAGCAGAAGTGTTTGAATCAATCATTGCTATTGACTCCAATAAAATGTTTTTATTCGATCCATTTCGTGAATGTTTCACCTAACTTCCGAATGAAAAATAAAAATTTAATAATGCCCATATTTCATAACACGTCGATATGCCCGCAGGTCATTTTCGTCTTTTTCGTTCTGTATTTTTGATACAATAAAAATATTTTTTATTTCAATAATTCTGAGCATTTAATTCTCTGCGGTTATGCGAACTAAATTTTGTATCGTTACACGAATACAATTAACAGAAGTAAATGTAAAGTGTACAGATGTAGACGGAGGTACAGCAGTTAATTAATTACTCGATCAATCGATATCGGTCCTTAAGCAAACATCAGCGTACCATTATTCTTACGAATATCTCTCCATTGCAAACTCACCCTAAAACTTTCACCGGAATCCTGTACCAACATTTCCATTCACAGCAATCAGTGTATCCCAAACGTTTCTATCCTCTTCGAAAGAGCCACCCTCTAACTCGATCGTCACGGTTGTTCAGTTTTACCAAATACCGCTTTGCATCACAAAGTCTCCTGCCAAAACCTCCTCCGCTATCGTTCTCCTACTCTTTGACGGATAAACGTTTCAGAAATCTTGCGGTCGATGCGAAAAAAATTCTACCCCTAACATCAACGATTTTGCGAAGTCGCGCGGGCGATACCGTAAATGGGCTGGGTCTTTTGATATTCGAATTTATTGCAGCATGAGGGATGCAGGATGAGGGATGTAGGATGAGGGATGTAGGAGAGTTGTGGGACTTAGGGTGTTTTGGGTGATTTAGGAAAATTGATTGTTATGAAATTTTTATTTTTGGAGGCTTTAAAGTTGGGTTTGTAGTAATTTAAATTTAATTTTTGTTTTGGGACAAATTCTTGGATTTTCAGATTCTTAAATTGGTAATTTTTTATTGTCTAAATTTTTGAAGCTTTAACTCTCACACCCCAAATTCTTAAATTTTCAATTTCTCAAACCCTAAATTTTCTCCTTACCAAATTCTGAGTCCTCCAAAACTATCAACCATCAAATTCTCAAATCCCCAATTTCCCCCTCTACTAAATTTTCAAACCTCCCCTTCCAAACCCCAAATCTCTAAAATCCCCAAATTCCCACCCTCCCAAATTTCTAAAATCCCCAAATTCCCACCTTTCCAAATTCCCACCCTCCCAAATCTCTAAAATCCCCAAATTCCCACCCTTCCAAATTTCCTCCCTTCCAAATTTCTAAAATCTCCAAATTCCCACCCTTCCAAATTTCCACCCTTCCAAATCTCTAAAATCTCCAAATTCCCACCCTTCCAAATTTCGACCCTTCCAAATTTTCACCCTTCCAAATTCCCACCCTTCCAAATTCCCACTCTCCCAAATTTCCACCCTCCCAAATCTCTAAAATCCCCAAATTCCCACCCTTCCAAATTTCCACCCTTCCAAATCTCTAAAATCTCCAAATTCCCACCCTTCCAAATTTCCACCCTTCCAAATCTCTAAAATCTCCAAATTCCCACCCTTCCAAATTTCGACCCTTCCAAATTTTCACCCTTCCAAATTCCCACCCTTCCAAATTCCCAACCTTCCAAATTCCCACCCTCCCAAATCTCTAAAATCCCCAAGTTCCCACCCTCCCAAATTCCCACCCTTCCAAATCTCCACATCTCCAATTCCCCACATTTACCAAACACTCTAACTCTCACATACCCCAACTTCCCAAAAGACCACCCTCCCCAAATTCCCCGAAAACTCGCCATCCCAGAAGTCGTAGTAATACCACCGCTGATGAATCGCAAAAAGCGCGCGCGCAAAAAAAAATGGGAGATTCGATTACAACGAACGCGTAACGTCAGCAACGAACGAACATTGGAGGGTAGGCAGAGGGTGGACGCGATGGAAACGAATACGAAGGCTCGGTTCCGCGAGAAAGGAAAATCAGCAGAATGGGATCCGCGAAGAGGGAGGAGATGCGTTTGGGACACGGGCTGGGCGCGAAACAGGGTGAATAACGCGGGGGTGTGTAGCAGAGGGTGCATGAATAGTGGCGCGATCCGGTGAAATTCACGCGTTAACGTTTGCAGCTCGATATCGCGGCTCGCGATATTCTGCCACGCGAAAAGATGAACGCTGAATGGGTGCGTCGTTCGCGAATCTCGCGATAACGAGTTTTCAACTTGGTATTTTGTCAACTTTCGGACAAATGTTAACCTTTAAGGGGTACGCTTTCATTAAATTATTTAGACTTTAGGTCGCACGTCTATGCAGTTAAATGTTGGTAGCGATTTTTAATTCAATGTTAATTCATGACGCTCTCATGACGCACCCATGACGCACTCGTGACGCACTCGTGACGTACTTACAATGCGTTCATGACGCACTCGTGACGCACTTACAATATATTCGCTAGGCTGCATTATTTTTAAAGAATTAATTTAAGGAAATTTTATGTCAATTCAAGAAATAATTCAACATGTGTGGATATACAGCAGGCAAAATTTTGGAAGAGTTGATTTGAAGAAACTTTGTGTAAATTCAAGAAATAATTCAACATATGTGGACATACAAACATACAAAAACAACAACACATTTAATACAACGGAATTAATATTTTATGTTTTGTAATGGTTATTAAAGCAATTACCTATTTTCAGTCATCACATGAAGGGTACTGGCCAATCACCTTTCGTAGCATCACACACATGTGTACATTAATGGTTGGGTCAGTCGTCACATATGTTATGTAGACAGCTACAAAACTGTTAAGTGCAAACCTATGGGTAGTCACATGTAGTCATATGTAGTCATATGTTGTCATGTGTTGTCATATGTAGTCACATGCAATCACATGTAGTCACATGTAGACGTATGTAGTCACATGTAGTTACATGTGGTCACATGTAGACATATGTATTCACGTGTAGACACATGTAGACATATGTAGTCACATGTAAACATATGTAGTCACATGTAGACATATGTAGTCACATGTAGACGTATGTATTCACATGTAGACACATGTAGACATATATAGTCACATGTAGTTACATGTAGTCACATGTAGACATATGTATTCACATGTAGACACATGTAGACATATGTAGTCACATGTAAACATATGTAGTCACATGTAGACATATGTAGTCACATGTAAACATATGTAGTCACATGTAGACGTATGTATTCACATGTAGATACATGTAGACATATGTAGTCACATGTAGACACATGTAGACATATGTAGACACATATAGACATATTTAGCCACAGTCAGTCATAAAATGTCCGTCCATCACATATGTTTTGTGAGCGACCACTAAAGTGTCAACTGCACACCCACGGGTAGTCACATTCACTCACATGTATTCATACGTGGTCACATTTAGTCATGAAATAGTAATAGAAAGAAGCGAGGTTAAGAGTTAACTCAACATCTCCTTAGAATGTCGCAACGTTCGTTCGATCGAGTTCATCACATGTTATCAATTGATTTCCATAAAAGCCAGTTGCGTCCGATCGATCGACCCAACAAGTCTAGCCATCACCATCCACAGTTGACAAGTTTGATTTTCTGTTTCCGAAGGTTGCGAAAAATCGTGGGATCGCGGGCAAACGAGCGAGGAAGAAAGTGCCGGCAATCGAGGGACGAGAAGGCAAAAAAGTGCTTTCGAGAGAGGCTGGCGCGAGTTAACTCGGTGAAAGGGGAGCTGGAGGAGCTCCATTGGAAAGAGAAAAAAAGAGAAGCTCGAACCGCGCGAGGGTGGCCTGCGGTTCTACCGACGAAACGAAGATCCACGAGGAACAAGTGCGATCGAACGGACAAGGGTTAGAGTTCGGGTGTCGTTGCTGTGACGTGACGTGACGTGACGGTGACGTGACATCGACGTAAAGCCGTCGAGATGCCCAGGGATGAGATGGCCGCCTACCTTCATACCGTGCTATCGCTCGTTCTACTCCTTGCTGCCTCCACACTTTGCCGTGGCAGAATTACCAACCAGGAGATAGGTGAGTCACTATATTTTATATACAGGGTACGTCGCAAAAATAATGGAACAGAAAATTAATCTTTTTATTCAACATTTGATCAATACAAGTTTTCTTTAAATTTAAACTGTTCCATTACTTTTCTGATATGCTTACATTTTTTCCTGTGTACTTATATTTTTTGTTAGTTTCTGTCATTTGTAATCGGGTTGTAGTTCTCTTAGGCTGTAACTCGTTCAGTCGAACAATTCATTTTGCAAATGCGTGCAATTTGCAAGGTACGAAGTTGGCAACTCCGATTTTCTTCAAACTTGGTGTACTTGAACAGCACATCAAAAGTAATAGTCTTCTACAATAATAGCGTGCAACTCTCTAAAGTAACGGAGAAATTAGGTTCATGAAAGTACTCTAACATGATAGTGGTATGTAAACTGGTATGTGAATCTTCATAGTGTGACATGAGAGTTGAAACTCTGATCACTTCTAATAACTGTAATTACTTAAAAAAAGACCGTAATCCTGATTGTGAATAATTTCTCAAAAGAGTCCTCCAAATCAATTTCAATAAGAAATTCAGTCCACCTATAAATTTAACATCTCCTCATTAAAATTAATTAAAAAACAGATATTTTCTACGTCCCCTAAAGGAAATGAAGTATCCATATAATACACGGCGATTGCAGTTATATTATCACTTGTAGTATCGAATAAGAAGATTGAATGAAATATTACATTTTATTGAATGTACGAGACGACGCGTATTTTAGTAACGTTCGTAATTGCGTTGAATATAATATTTGGGATTAAATACGTTGCGAAAGTTTTACGCAAATTCAAAGCTTTAAATTACTAGAGAGATGGATTCAAATTTTCCATCGCTTTGCCTCCATTCGCGGACCGAAACTGTGAAATAATACCGCGAAATTTTTATTGCGCGTTTTTTAACCGGTTTCAATCAAATTTCGGAAAAATTCATTTAATTTTAAAATTACTTTTCGTATAATTGAAATGAAACCTCGATTGCACCGAATTGTGCTAGGATATTGCGGGGATAGTTTTTACTGGTTCGTTAGGTATATTGTTATATAAATTTTGGAGAATAAACTTGTTATATGTGTATTGTTAATTAAATTTTTTAGAATCAACGTATTATATATTTATTGCTATATTTCGTCTGCGTACATTTATCGCTATGTATATGTTATTAAATATATTACGTACATGTGTGATATTACATATGTGATATTACATATGTGATGTCACATGTGTGAGTAATATGTTTGATGAATATGTGATGTTACATATGTATGTATGTTTGGTGAATTTACAAAACATAGTCCACATGATTCAAGTATTCATCAAACATATTACATGTGATGTCACATATGTAATATAACATGAGACATCATATGTGTAACATAACATATATATATAACATGTCTGATAAATTTAAAGAAACTAGTAATACACATACATCCAAGTATTCATCAAACATGTGACATCACATGTAATATGATATGTGATATCACATGTGTAATATGATATGTGATATCACATGCGTAACATAACATATGTATGTAACATGTCTGATAAATTTAAAGAAACTAGTAATACACAAACATCCAAATATTCATCAACCATGAGACATCACATGTAATATAATATGTGACATCACATGTGTAATATAACATGTGACATCACATGTGTAATATAACATATGTATATAACATGTCTGATAAATTTAAAGAAACTAGTAATACACATACATACAAATATTCATCAAACATGAGACATCACATGTAATATGATATGTGACATCACATGTGTAATATGATATGTGATATCACATGTGTAACATAAGATATGTATATAACATGTCTGATAAATTTAAAGAAACTAGTAATACACATACATCCAAATATTCATCAACCATGTGACATCACATGTAATATAATATGTGATATCACACGTGTAATATGATATGTGATATCACATGTGTAACATAACATATGTATATAACATGTCTAACAAATTTAAAGAAACTAGTAATCCACATACATCCAAGTATTCATAAAACATGTGACATCACATGTAATATGATATGTGACATCACATGTGTAATATGATATGTGATATCTCATGTGTAACATAACATACAACATGTCTGATAAATTTAAAGAAACTAGTAATCCACATACATGCAAGTATTCACCAAACACGTAATATGATATGTGATATCACATGTGTAACATCACACATGTACCATGTCTGATTAATTAAAAAAACTACCCATCCACATCCAACCATAACGTTAAAACTTTTTTGCCCCATCATACTAAATATCGTTTCCCGATAAATGTGTCTAAAAACTAGTTCAGTTTACAAAGTACCATAGCGCACATTTTGTTTGTTTCGATCGTTCAAATAAAACGCTAAATAAGGCACGCCAACCTGTGGCTTCCGCGTACTCGAGCAAATAATTAACCGAAAAATCAATTTGGAGTTTCTGTGTTATGCCGTCGCGCGGATCACACGAAATCTAATTAATTACCGTATGACGGCCAGTTGTCCGTGTGTGTCCCCCGTTTCCGGCATTGCTGGTACAATGTGTGTAATTATGCCGACTGGAACGCAAAGTGGGATGGCAGAAAATTCGCGTTCGACCAGGAACGACACGGTTCCCCAAGGATTAATTAGTAAACGAAACGACTGTTTCACAACGAAAGTTTTCTGTATGATTTTCTGGGTCATCGTTCTTTTATAATCGATTTGGATAACTTGATCGTCAATCCTATTTTTATAGTTCAATTTTTTGATTGGAAGGGTAATTGTAAATTAGATCAGTTAGTTGTTTTATTTTGTTATGTTTTGAGTGTGAGTGGATGGCTTTGTGGAAGGATGTTTTGTGTAAGATTTATATTGTTATATGTAAAAAAAGATAAATCCACAAGTTTTTATATCTCAAAATATCTAAATCTCCAAACTGCTATATCTGTAAATAATTGTGTCTCCAAATTGATAATTGCACAAGACTTTATATCTCAAAATATTTAAATCTCCAAACTGCTATATCTCTAAATACTTATGTCTCCAAATTGATAATTGCACAAGTCTTTATATCTCAAAATATCTAAATTTCCAAACTGTTATATCTCTAAATACTTATGTCTCTAAATTCTTATGACTCCAAATTGCTAAACACCCAAACCTCTATATCTCCAAATTTCTAAATCTCCAAATCCTTATATCTCCAAATTCAAATTTCAAATCTCTAAATTCTTATAATTCCAAATTGCTAAGTTCCCAAATCTCTATGTCTCCAAATTTCAAATCTCTAAATTCTTATGACTCCAAATTGCTAAATCCCCAAATCTCTAAATCTCCAAATTCTTATCACTCCAAATTGCTAAATTCCCAAATCTCTATGTCTCCAAATTCTTATCACTCCAAATTGCTAAGTTCCCAAATCTCTATGTCTCCAAATTTCCAAATCTCCAATTCTTATGACTCCAAATTGCTAAATCCCCAAATCTCTAAATCTCCAAATTCTTATCACTCCAAATTGCTAAGTTCCCAAATCTCTAAGTCTCCAAAATCTTATGACTCCAAATTGCTAAATTCCCAAATCTCTAAATCTCCAAAATCTTATGACTCGAAATCCCCAAATCTCTATATCTCTAAATCTCCAAATTCCTTACTCTTAAAATCCCTAAAACCCCAAATTTCTAAATCTCCAAACCCCTAAATTTCTAAAACTCCAAATCTCCAAATCTCTACATCTGAAAATCTCCAACTCCCCAGAATTACAAAATCAACTCGCCAAATTCCATTTCCACAAAATTTCATTTTCCCCAGTTGAATGTTCGTTTCGTGAAAATTGAAACACCTTGAAACCCGTCCATTTGAATATTCATTCATTTAAATTTCATAGAATGCAGAAAAAAAATAACTAGGAAGATTGTTATTTGTGTGCACTTGCACGTTTAAATTTGCAACATAAAGGCGCGTTAAATTCCAGTATCGTTTATTTCTCAATGGAATAAAATTTCAATGGTTATCAATGGTTAAACACGATTTACATTAATGCAAATCACCGGCGAACGTGTTTCATCAAATCAAACCAACTGATGGGATATATTATATCTATTATTGAAATAACGTTTGAATTAAACATGCGATGTCGTATATTTGTATGAATTATACATATAATTGATGTTCGTAAACAATAATCTTTGTACATATGGCGTTTGTTTAACTACATTCGTACTCATTTTCTTGTTCTTATTTTTTTGACTGAAAATGTTGGTTAAGTGAAAATCTCAGGAGCGAAATTATTCAATTTTTGGACTTTGTGTTTGTAGATTTTTCAATTTTCAAATTTCTAAATTTACAAATCTTGGTAATAAAATTTCTAATTCATCAAATTTCTGAATGGTGAAGTTTTTAATTTTCGGAATTTTTAAATGCTGAAATTCTAAATTTTAGAATCTCTAGATTCCCCAAATTTCTAATTTTACAAATTTCTAAATTGTTTAATTCATAAATTTCTCAAATTTCTACATTCCCAAATTTGAACATTTCCAACCCCTAAATGTTTCAAATCTACACGTCCCCAAATCTCTAAATTTCCAACCCTTAAATCTCCCAATTCTCCACATTCCCAAATCTCTAAATTTCCAACCCCTAAATCGACCATTTTCCACATCCCAAAATCTCTAAATTTTCAACCCCTAAATCGACCATTTTCCACATCCCAAAATCTCTATATTTCCAACCCCTAAATTTCCCAATTCTCTACATTCCCAAATCTCTAAATTTCCAACCCCTAAATCTCCCAATTCTCCACATCCCCAAATTTCTAAATTTTCAACCCCTAAATCTCCCAATTCTCCACATCCTCAAATTTCTAAATTTCCAACCCCTAAATCTCCCAATTCTCCAAATTCCCAAATCCTTAAATTTCCAACCCCTAAATTTCCCAAATCCCTAAATTTCCAACTCCCAAATTTCCCCTTTCTC